AGTCGCTTAACCAACTGAGCCACCCAGGCACCCCCAAAAAAATTTTTTTTTAATGAAAAAATGAGGGGAGAAATCTGGAAATTGAAGTTGGCAGAATAAGGGAGTAAGATTTAGAACAACCTTTGTCTAAGAAAAATGGCAGCCACTGACTGGGGCTATTGCAGATGTGAGGAGGCAGAAGGAAGGACAGATTACTGAAAGTGAATGATCTGAATAAAGGAAGTCTTAAGGACCAAAAATGCAAGAAGAACCCATAAAGAGTGGAAGGGCTAAAAGCAAAAGGCAGAGAAAAGACAGGACCAAATTGTAGAGGAAAAAACAGGCTGAAGTCAAATTCAGCATTTCTTTCCCTCTGTAATTTCAAAACAAAAGAGGGCCCCTCTATCCTTTGTTCTTATTAAATCTTATACATCATTGCTCTTTTAGAGAGTGAAATGGCAAGGATAATTTCAAGTCCATCAGGAAACCCCAGATCCCTTACTGGACCTAGAAAATATTCATAATGGGGTCCCCGCTGCTTACAGTAGTTTAAGAAGGTGGCCATATTGGGGGGCACCTCGGTGGCTCAGTTGGTTGAGCGACTGCCTTCGGCTCAGGTCATGATCTCAGGGTCCTGGGATCGAGTCCCACATCGGGCTCCCTGCTCGACGGGAGGCCTGCTTCTCCCTCTCCCACTCCCCCTGCTTGTGTTCCTGCTCTCACTGTCTCTCTCTCTCTCTCAAATAAAAAAAAAAAAAACTTAGCCAAAATTTAGGCGACCATAAATATAATGCTAAGTATTACTAAGAGTAAATATACTAAAACTATCACAACAACTAACTCTAAGAAAGTGGGAAGGGGAGGGAATGGGGCCAGCTGCTCTGAGCCTGGTTAAACCTGGAAGGACTCTGATACAGAAACAGAAGCTGGAACTGTGGGGATAAAAGCCAGCCCAGCCCCCAAGAAACAGAGCTGATAGTGCCCACCTCCCAGCAGCAGTAAGGCACGGTGGGAGAGAACACAGGCTCTGGATTCAGACACACATGAGGTTCCAGATCTAACCATAATTCACTAGGGTTCCCCATATAGTGAGAAAGGAACTATGGTTATTATCGGCAAATACTCGATTATACATTTACAGCTAAATGAGTTAAACTGATTTACGATCTAAGAAATTTACAAAATGGGGGCGCCTAGGTGGCTCAGTCATTAAGTGTCTGCCTTCGGCTCAGGTCATGGTCCCAGGGTCCTGGGATCAAGCCCCTCATTGGGCTCCCTGCTCAGAGGGAAGCCTGCTTCTCCCTCTCCCGCACCCCCTGCTTGTGTTCCCTCTCTCGCTGTCAAATAAATTAAAAAATAAATTTATAAAATGTTAACCAGAATTCTATCTACGTATCAAACAACTGATCTTGAAATAGTAATGCTTAATCCATGCCATTCTCACACTATTTTTGGAGTCAATAAAGACTCTTGTTCAAGAGGAATGCTTTTTCTGGTCATTTAGTCACATTACATTTTCTCTAGGTCAATTTATATTAAAGTAGCTTTATCATGATGAAGATAATGGTTATTAAGCCTATATGTGCCAGTCCTTATTCTAAACAACTGGTTTAGAAAATGTACTAACTTATTTAATCCTCACAAATCTGAGATAGGTACTATTCTTATACCCATTTAATAAATGAGGAAATTGGCAAAGAAAGCAACTTATCCAAGGTTATGTACCAGGTAAGTGAAAAAGAGCCTGGGACTCCAACCCTACCAATCTAGCTCAAAGCCTGTATGGTAAACTATTCTTTTGCCTCATTTATAAACACACTGAAAATCAGTCATTAAGTTACGATCTTGGGATGCCTGGGTGGCTCAGTTGAGAAGCGTCTGCCTTCGGCTCAGGTCATGATCCCAGGGTCCTGGGATCGAATCCCACATCGGGCTCCTTGCTCCGTGAGGAGCCTGCTTCTCCCTCTCCCTCTGCTGCTCCCCCTGCTTGTGCTCTGACAAATAAATAAATAAAAATCTTTAAAAAAAAAGTTACAGTCTTAACTTAGGATAAAAACGCAACATCAGAGAGATGCTACCAACCATCAATTAAAAAGGCAGAAGCATTTCTACCTGATTTTTGGACTGCTATCTAACATACTAAATTTTATATAAGGCACCCCTGGGTGGCTCAATCGGTTAAGCATCGGACTCTTGATTTCAGCTCAGGTCATGATCTCAAGGGTTGTGAGGTCGAGCCCCACATCAGGCGCCTGCTTAAGATTCTCTCCCTCCCTCTCCCTCTGCCCCCCCCCAACCTGGTTCGTGTATGTGTATGAAGAAAAAAAAATTTCATATAAAAATTTGTAGTTACGGGATGCCTGGCTGGCTCAGTCAGTAAAGCATGTGACTTTTGCTCCTGGGGTTGTAAATTCAAGCCCCATGATGGGTGTAGAAATTACTTAAAAATCTTGAAAAAAAAATCTGCAGTTACAATGTTGTGTAATACGCACATTTGCTTCATGAAGCATCATGATCCTTTGGAAAACAAGCCTCAGGAAGCGGAGTAAAGGGTCACCTGCCCACTTTTGACCCTCCAAACCTCTACATGAGATGCGCAACTACTTCTAATCTCTAAGACTGAGATGAAAGCAAATTACTCTCGGGCACCTGGGTGGCTCAGT